CCCCGATAAAACCTTCACTCGGTTCCACGACGAGGACAGGGCCGTGCTCGTTCTCTTCCCGAGGCTACGGTGTCGCCTCGGTTCAATCAGGGCCGGCGCCTTCGTCCAATCTAAAAAGGTTAATCCTCTTTGCTTCTGCTCTGTCCGCCTCTGTTTCACCGCCGGTAATCTGACGGAAATGTTACCGGGAGAGACTCCGTCGCCCTCCGGAGAAACTTCTCACCTGTCTTTTTATACGTTTTTTTTTTTGTCTCGGGGAAATGTTAAGTGGAAATGTCAAGTTTTCTGTTTTTCCCTCCAGGTTTTGGGTTTTTTTTTTTTGAACAAAGTTTTTATTATTTTTTCAGAGATAATACAGTATGGTACGGATGTACATATATGTTTTTACATTTTTAAACATAAAAAAACAAGCGAACACAAACACAGGGTGATTACAAGAGTGTGAGAAAAAATAAAATAAAATAAAATAAAATAAACAACAACCTTATTGCATAATTAGTGGAACAACAGGTCTCCAACGTTTGTTAAATATGGGTGTTTGTAATCTCAGGGAATATGTTATATATTCCATCTGGTATATGTCCCAGACCTTCTGGATCCATATGTTATAGCAGGGAGGCTCAGGTTGGAGCCATCTGATAGTGATGCATTTTAGAGCCGCTGTTAATAAGATGTTCAGAATATATTTTCCATCCCGTGTAGTGATATTTTTAGGTGTTACTCCCAATAGGGCAATGACTATGTTGAATGGGATATCTTGTTTGAATATGACTTTTAGGGCATCGAAAATGTCTTTCCAGAACTGATTTAATTTGGGGCATTGCCAAAATATGTGTGTGTGATTAGCATTGTCATTTCCACATTTTCTCCAACATAATCCTGAGTATGTCGGTCCCATTTTAGCCGATATAGCTGGTGTTCTAAAGAATCTAGTCACAACTTTCCATTTGAATTCTCGCCAGGTGTTTGAGTTTGTGACAAGGTGTGACTCCGTACATATTTCCTCCCAAGTCTCATCTGATATGTTCATCATGGTCTCTGCTTCCCATTTTTGTTTAATATTTAGTGAATTACAGGTACTTAGAGACAGAAATATATCATACAGTTTACCAATAATTTTTTTGTCTTTGTTGACCACTTGTTTGACTAAAAATTGTTCTATGGGGTTGGAATGTAATATTTTTTCCCAGTCTTTGTGAGACATTAGAAATGATCTCAGTTGCAAATATCTAAAAAAGTCTGTGTTGGGGAGACCAAACTCAACCTTTATTTCCTCAAATGTTTTAATGTTGCCATCTTTGATCAGTTGATATTGGTATGTTAAGCTATTTTCTGTCCATTTCTTAAAGCCATTATCCAATACGTTGGGGAGAAAGGTTTTCATTGATCCAATGTTTGTCAATGATGAGAGATTCTTGGGCAGTCTGTAGGATGACCGTATTTTATTCCAAATATTAAGTGTATGTTTAGTCCACCCGGTCATTTCTTTAATTTGGACATCTAAAAATGGTAATTCTTGTAGGGGTTCTACACATTTGCTCTTTTCTATGTTTAACCATCTCGTCGTTTCATCGTTTTGGATCCATGATAACAGTGGTTTCATTTGTGCTGCCCAATAATACATTGTAAGGTTTGGGAGCTTAAGACCGCCATCCATTTTAGACAATTTCAAAGTTTTTAACCTTATTCTGGGCCGCTTTTTTTGCCATATGAAGGCCGATATTAATTTGTCGATGTAGTCAAATGTTTGTTTTGGAATATTTATAGGTAACATCTGGAATAGATAAAGAATCCGAGGTAGAATATTCATGCGCACACTTTCAACTCTGCCTAATAGAGAAAGAGGGATAGAGGACCATCGCTCTAAGTCATTGCCAATATTTTTAATTATTTTTGTGTAATTTGATTTATATAAATCACTTAAGGAGGATGGAATAAAAATGCCGAGATATTTAATGCCTTCTTTGGGCCATTTAAATCCACTTAGGAGTTTGACATTGTCATTAACAAGGTTGTTTACATCTATAACTTCAGTTTTGTCAACATTCACTTTATATCCTGAGTAATATCCATATTGCTGAATGACATATTTGAAATGAGGAATTGTTGAAGCAGGTTCGGTAAAATATAATAGGACATCATCAGCATATAATGATATTTTATGTTGTTCTGTATTTATTACAACGCCTTTCATATTCTGATCATCCCTAATAAGTTGGGCTAGCGGCTCTATGCTAATAGCGAACAGTAAGGGCGATAGTGAGCAACCCTGTCTGCATCCACGTTCCAGGTCAAATCGGTCCGATCTATGTCCATTAACCCGTACAGCTGCTTGTGGTGATGAATAGAGTGTTTTTATCCACTTGATAAAATTTGGGCCGAATTTGAATCGCTTTAATGTTTGAAATAGGTATTGCCATGATACTCTATCGAATGCTTTTTGTGCATCCAAAGCTATGATTACAGATTCTAGTTTTTCATTGTTCAGATGGGATATTACATTTAAAAGACGCCGAAGATTATTGCCATAGTACCTTCCTGTAATGAACCCAGTTTGGTCAGGGTGTATGATATGGGTTATTACTTTATTGACACGCCTTGCTAATACCGCTGTTAGTATACGCAGATCACCATTTAACAAAGATATAGGCCTATAGGATTGGCAATCTGTGGGGTCCTTGCCTTCTTTATGAATAACAATTATTGTGGCTTCTGACCATGATGGTGCCAATTTTTGTGACTCCAAAGCGAATGAATAAGCTTTTAGTAATAAAGGTGTAAGTGAGTCTTTAAACACTTTATAGAACTCATTAACATAGCCATCTGGCCCTGGACTTTTATTGCCCTTAAGGGAAGAGATGACTTGTTTAATTTCGGTCTCCTCGAGAGGTTTGTCAAGTTCTTCAGCTAACTGGTCTGTCAGTTCTGTGATCTTTATATGTTCTAAATATTCTGCAAGTTCCTGCTCATTTGTGCATGTGTCCGTATTTTTATACAGTAATTTGTAAAACTCTGAAAATGCTTTAGATATGTCATTTGGTTTAGTAACATAAGTTGATTGGACTTTAATTTTTTGTACAATATTTGATGCTTGTTGTTTCCGTAGTCTAAACGCTAATAATTTACTGGCCCTATTTCCATCCTCATAGTATCTTTGATTCGTGAATCTTAAGTTACCTTCAATTTTAACAGATAATAGGCTATTTAGTTGTCTTCGAGTCGCGTTTAACTCTTTCACACTGGTAGCTTTTTTAGATTGTTTATGTTCATATTCCATTTTTTTTATTTTACATTCTAATTCCTTTTGCTTGGCTTCTCTCTCCCGCTTTCTCGCTGCTGCGTATGAAATAATTCTGCCTCGCAAGTATGCTTTAGCGCAGTCCCATAAAATTAGAGGATTTGTTTCTGGTTTAGAGTTGTTGTTCAGATATTCCTTTAATTCATTGGTAATGAAGGACACAAATTCTTTATCATTCAACAGGGATGTATTTAGCCTCCACTGTTTGGTTGTTGGTCTAAGTCCTATGTCCCATTGTAACAGGACAGGCGCATGGTCGGATAAGGTGATCGGCATAATCTCAATATCTGTCACTTTGTCCAAATTTGCCTTAGGAGTAAAGAAATAATCTATCCTAGAGTAAGATAGATGTCTATTAGAATAGAAAGTGAAATCTCTAGCTCTTGGGTGTTTACTTCTCCATACATCGACCAGACCCGCCTCTAAAGCAAGGTGTTTAAGGGCTTTACTCATTTTAGGCATTGGTGTTCTTGATGGTGGTTGTCTATCGGCAAACTGGGACATTGTACAATTAAAATCTCCTGCCATCAGCAACAGTCCAGTACTATGTTGTATGATTTTATTGAATAATGTTTTGATGAATCCTGGTTCATCTTCATTCGGTCCATATACGTTAATGAGAGAAACTTCGACACCATCAATTACCCCGTTAACTATTAAAAATCTCCCTTCACTATCCCTATGCAATGAATTTTTAGTAAAGTTTATCTGTTTGTGAATAAGTATTGAGACTCCTCTTTTGCGTCCAGATATGTGGGAAGCGTAATATATTTTGTCTGCCCATGATTTTAACTTTTCGTGTTCTGCATCAGGCAGATGCGTTTCTTGAAGAAAGGCAATGTGGCAGTTGAATTGTTTTAGCTGACGCAATATTTTCTTTCTCTTAATTGGGCTATGAAGCCCTTTCACATTATAACTTACAATTCTCAGTTCACCCATTTTTCTATAGATTTTGATTTATTTTTAAAACTGTTGGTCTCATAAGCAGGATGGGAAGCATAGATGTGTACAGTGAAACATGACATCAGTTGAAATAAGCAATAAACACCCTTTTGTTTGGAACATAACACAAGATCCCCGGGGAACAAGGGGGTCATAACTTGAACACTAACACAAAACCTATATAAGCTAAATAATGAAATTGACATTATTTAAGGGGAAACTCGTTCCTAGCCGCCTAAATAGCAGCAACAGAGCACAACCTAGGTCCAATTCGGCTGTGCTTTAAGTTCGCCAAGACAAAATCTGAGGTAACAATTAGACTTCTTAAACACTGCAAGAGCAATGCCTAGGACTCCTGCAGAGCAATAACAAATAAGACAGCTGTTTGCTATATTTTTTGCAAGCTAAAAAGGGAAAACAAAAATAATACCAACTAAATAAAAATATATAAATGAATAAAATACAAAAAAAATAATAATTAAAAATAATAATATTAAATTATGTGAAAAATGAGAATGAAAAAAAAAAAAAGATTATAATTCAATGAAATAATGACAGAGATCTGTAAAATTAAATACGCAGCAGAGGTAACAATGATTAAAAGTAATTGAAAAATAATAAAATAAGACTTATTGGCAAATAGATTTAAACACCCAAACCAACTATATGCATATGCCAGGCAAATAGTAACAAATCACAAACCTTGCACCTTGCTTTATAGTCTTTACCACTGTATTTTGTGGAGTGTCCGGAGATGGATTTAGTCGTTTGCTGCAGGCCGCTCCTCCATTAGGATCTGTTTGGCATAGTCCATAGCCTTCCGATGATCCACAAACTCTCTGCTGTTGCCATTATGGGTTATTCGAAGTCGAGCTGGGAAGAGAAGACCGTAGCGTATGTCCTTTCGTCCGCGTAGGGCACTCCGCACTTCTGAGAATGCCGCTCTCGCCTTAGCAACGTTAGCGGTGTAGTCCGGAAATATTGAGACACGCTGGCCATTATAAAATAACGGTGCTTTGTCACGAGCCTTTCGTAGTATCTCCACGGCGTCCTCATCATAATGCATCTTAGCAATTATCACCCGTGGCTTATCTCCATCTCTCGAGCTCCCAAAAATACGGTGAGAGCGATCCACTTTGACGTCACGATCCAGCTGTAGCATTTCTTTCAGGGCGCTAGCAATAGCCTTCGGGGTGCTGGAATTAGCCTCTGGGATGCCCGCTAGCCGAATATTGGCACGCCTCATTCTGCCCTCCATGTCTTCACATTTATACCGCATTGTCTTTATCTCTTTCTGGAGGCTTTCCACTGTTGTCTGTAGTGTTGACACTTCATCAGACCATGTGTTCAAACCATCTTTCACCTCGTTTACATCTGTCTTTACGAGCTCCATGTCAGCACGGATAGCGGTGACATCGTTAGCGATTAGCGTCTTTAGCCCTTGTAGGTCGTTTTTGATCGAGCTAATCTCGTCTGCCAGCGCCGATTTGAGCTCATCTCTTATAACGTTTTTTAGGTCTTCCCTTATGCTGGCCAGAATCTCCGCTTTCAAGTCTTCAGCCATACCTGGGACTTCACCTGAGGGATGGGTGGGTGCGGTGTGGGTCGCTCCGCCCTGTGTGGCTAATTTGGCTGTGTTCCTCGTGGTAGGCTTCGGGTTAGCTTGTTTGCTAGTACTTGCGGTGAATTTGTATTTCTGGAGTTTGTCCGCCATTAAAACAGC